TTGTATTCCCCCAGTTGCTAAAATAACATTTTACCACTTGAGTGACACCTTGGCCTGTTTCCATTTCTAGTACTCATTGAAAGTCACCTTTAACCCTAACTCCATCTGAAAGACTTTAAAGAACAAATTACCTTAAAGAAGAAGAGGCACTAGATTTTCAAATCTAAAAGGAACATTTCATTGAGATATCAAAAATTCCTAAGTAGATGGTGACTTTAATTTACTGGCAGTCACATGGGGTCACTCTGTATACTCTCCAGAAATTGCCACTGTCTAAAGCAGACCCCTACAATATGCCCTACCATCTGGGGCAAAAATGGCCGCTCTGAAGGCCTGCCGTCTGCAGTGAAGCTGTGCTTCACAACACCCTTCTCCCGCAGTGGACAGAAACGGGACTTTGGCAACAAGGGTGCCCAGGGCGGAAAGATGAGGCTGTCTGCTCCAGTAAAGGTGTGCAGCTGCGGAAACCCCAGTCCCTGTAAGTCAGAATCGACTCCAGGGGAGCAGGCTTAGTTGGGTTTTGGCTATTCGATGTGAACAAGTGCTGTATGTCCCAGGCAGGCAGTGGTACAGGGTTTCTTTACTCCTAGAACTAGGTTTCAACAGGAAATAGTAAGAGAAAAAAACTAAAAGCAATGAAAAGACTTTAAAAAGACTAATAAGTACTTATTATATAAGGAAAATGTCCACGTGCTGTACGGCTAGTCTCCACTAGAAGTCTAAGGATCTTGCTGGAGAAAAGAATTAACCATTTGCTTCATTCAGCAAGTGTCTTACATGTATCAGGGACCATACTGGACCCTGACATGAATCAGATCCGGTCCATGACCTTGAGGAGGTTCAGAATCTGTTAGGCACCGAAGTATTTATTACAGCAACTGTGGTAAGAGTTCAGAGATTGGGTTCAGAATACCAGAGGAGGTACCTAATTCTGTGAGGGTCTCCTGGAAAGGCATTTGAATACTAATGTAGGCCTAAGTGTCCATCAACTGAGCCCACTGCCACTGAGTTGATTCCCACACAGAGCAACCCTCCAGAGCAGGTTAGGACTGCTCCCCCAGCGGCTTTCGGTGACGGAAGCTCTTCACTGGAGTAGAAAGCTTTATCTTCCTCCCTAGGAGTGGCTGCTGGTTTTGAAATGCTGATCTTAGGGTTAAGCTGCCCAATACATAACCAGAGCTCCATTTTAAGTGTATTATTTGTCAAGAACCTTAAGGACATTCTTTATCTAGAGATTCTTCTAGTACAAAAAGACTTCTTTTTTAAAAAAAAGCATTACTAAGAGAGTTCACTCTAAATCACACGCTGTTTCTTACTGTGTGTTCTTGAGTCTGTTCTCTTTCCCGACCCTGAAGAACAGAGAAGAAACAGACCCCCACTCCCACCCCCACCCTGTGTTTCCCAAAATGACATCTGTATGGGGGCTGATCTCCGGGTCTTCTCTTTCACTAAACAGCCAATGGGCTCCAAACGCCAACCTTGCACTCGCAGGGGAGGAACCACTCTGCCACCAGGTCTCCTCTAAGACCACCCCGTACCAAAGCAAGGCCCCCTCCTTTGATAATCTCCATGGGGAAGCCACTAGTGACGATCATGATACAATCGCAATGGGACTTTTAAGCTTAAGTGGAAAGAGAAAGGTTGGTAGACATTTTTTCAAAAATGTTTAACATTTGGGTCATGAAATTCTGAGTCCTTAAGATTTTGAGCAATTTTTCTCTGTTACTTTATATTACTTTAGACATTTCTGTACTTTTCAAATTTTCTACAATGAGTATTAATTACTCCAAAACTAACATTCTTTTCAAAACGGGAATGTCATTTCCCTTGACATTTGTAAATCACTCAGAATTGCCTGAACAAATGCTAAGTGCTCAATTTTAAAGCTAAATTTTCAACTGTCATGTACTGCAGGTTCTTTATGTACGTCAAGTTCTCAGATTAGAGCCTGAATTTCTACTATACCAAGGAAGTAGTCAAGGCCAAGTCTTGCAGTCTCAAAGTCACTTTTTATCCCTACTTCCTTAAGAAGCTTTTGGCTTGGGGAAACTCGGATGGAATTAAATGAGCTGTCCTTTGACAATCTCCCCACCCATTTCTTAGTGGAGGCAGCAAAGAGGAACAAGAACAGAAGAGCTGCCAAGAATATTAAAATTCCAACCCCAACAGTAAATCCGGAGATAAAAGTGGATAGCTCAGCTCCAAAGCCTCGTGCTGGTTTTTAGACGCTCTCAAGCATGAGTCAAAATGTTATGCATTTCTATTCGTCTCACTAAAAAACTTAAGTATAATAATAAAGCACTGCAACTTCTTTGCAAGTCATCTGCTTCCACTGGATGAATTGAAACTTTTAAGTTATGGGGGGAAATTAAGCTATGATTATATATCTCACGTAAGAAAAGTTCAAAAGCAATTTGAAAAGTCATCTATCCAATTCTGTTGTATGTTTGGAATGTGTATCAGTTCCTTTTGAGCCTGCATTTCCTCTAATAAGTAACAAGTATGGTGGTGTGCTGGTGGATGAAGACTTTGTAGGCCACTTTCAAGACACTAGATGTAGGACAGATTAAGATCATAGGCCCTCAGAAAAATTCTTACAGACTATCACCAAACATATAGTTAGAAACAGGTAAAATGTGATGGTGCTACGCAAAGAATAATCAGCACAATTCCACCTCACCTTTGACTCTTGGGGGAGGGGAGGGGGAGAAACCAAACCCACTGTCACTAAATTGATTCTAACTCATAACGACATACCAACCTTACATAGGGTTTCTGAAGCTGTAAACCTTTAGGGGAGCAGACAGTCTCAACTTTTTCCTGCTGAACAGGTAAGGTTTGAACCACTGACCTTGAGGTTAGCAATCTCAGGGTTTCTTGACTCCTAGAACTAAGTTTTCAACAGGAAATAGTAAGAGAAAAAACTAAAAGCAATTAAAAGACTTTAAAAAGACTAATAAGTGCTTATTATATAATAAGCACTTAATTAACATATTTCTTTCCTTTCTTCAAACTAAAGAGAACATTTTTTTTAACTTAACTCTGAATCATTTGTGCTGCAGCTTTTGCAGGAACTATATAAAAGCATTTCATGAGCTATAGTGTGCAAGTGACAACTTGATTTATTCTAAAGACCTATAGTCAGTCAGAAGGCTCTTTTGAAGCCAGGGTGCAAGAGTTCATTTCACATATTTTGGGCATGTTACCAAGAGATACCAGTCTGGAAGACGGGAGAAGGCCTGGTGGAGGAGTGGATTACAAATTGGTCTGCTAACCATGAAGTCAACAGTTTGAAACTGCCGGTGCCTCCATGGGAGTAAGATGAGGCTTTCTACTCCAGTAAAGCTTTACAGTCCCAGAAACCCACCTGGGTAATTGTACTCTGTCCTACAGGGTCGCTACTAAGTCAGAATCATCTTGATGGCAGTGCTTTTGGTTTTATTCCTTTTCTTCTTCTTTTTTCTTTTTTGACAAGTCCATCAACGTTGGTCATGGAGAGGGTCAGCAAAAGAGGAAGACCCTCAGCAAGGTGGACTGCCACAGTGGCTTTAACAAAGGGTTCAAACACAGCAATAACGATTGAGGATGATACAGGAGCGAGAGTATTTCCTTCTATTGTACCGAGGGTCACTATGAGTCAGAACTGACTGGACAGCATATTACTACTGCTGCTACAACTAACTGCTACTTACTCCTCCTACTATTTTAGTTTCCCCCTAAGGAAAGGGTCGCTTATCTGAGTTTCTGAGAAATAATGTGCTCAAGCCTTGGGTAAGAGTACAATCTCTTTTTATTTCCCAGAACAATACTTTATTAACTACATTACTTTCCTATAATTGTTCTATTTCCTAAACTTGACATCATCTTTAGGTACAACAGGATTTAAAATCTACCCTTTGACAACATCTAGCCACGAGTACAATAGGAATTAGTGGTCTTTTCCTGGCACGCCAAGCTCATAAAGCAAAGGGGATGAGGCATGAGGTCTTGCCGTATTTGAGGATGTGAGGAGGGATGGGGTCTCTGCAACAGAACAGAGTAGACGGAGCGTTTGAGGTCAGACCATCCGGGTCAGAATTCAAACTGTACCGCACCAAAAGCATAACTTTGAGCGCATTATTTAACTTCTCCATGCTGACTTTCCCCATCTGTAAGACAGAGATAACTGTGCCTCAGAGAGTTATAAGAATCCAGTGAGATAATTCACATAAAGCATTCAGCAAAACATTATTAACATTGCCAAAATTTTAAGTGTGGCCTTACAATCATTGAGAATTAATCACCTAAGACTTTTATTTTTGCAAAACAAGGCTTTCTCCTCCCATAAAGTTACAGTCTGGGAAACCCAAAGGGGGAGTTCTACCATGGATGGCAATGAATTTGGAGTTGCGATCAATTGAAAGGAGTCCTAGCGGTGCAGTGGTTAAGCATTGGGCTATTAACTGCAGGGTCAGCAGTTTCAAGACCATCAGTCCCCCAGGAGAAAAATGGGCCTTTTGACTCCCATAAAATTATAGCCTTAGATAACCACAGGGGCACAGAGTTCTACCCTGTCCTATAAAGCTGATGAGTCAGCATCGACTCGCCGGCAGTGAGTGAGTGTGTGATATGGTGGCTATGAGGGGGTATCTAACTTCCCTGGATGGCAGTTTTTGTTGCTTTTGTTTTGTAATCAATTGAAAAACCTTCATTTTTTCAATTTGGTGGTGGGAGGTCACAGCTGTAAGAGAAACTCAGGGATGGAAATAAATCTGGGAAGTGATTCAAAGAACATAAACTTAGCATCTTCAAGGGGTTCAAATCATGTTCCTTTAAAATGCTGAGTTAAAGGAAGTCTGATGGGGCAAGTTCAGGCCTGGAGGGTGGGGGTAAAGTCTCCCAACAAAATTCTCATAGGACAGCCTTTGCTATAACTTCAACAATATGGAGATGGATTGTCATGGCTTTTCCTACCAGTGCAGTTTTCCATTTTCTTAAAAGCTTTGTTTGTTTGTTTTTTACAGGGGAGAGCGCAAACGCAGTCCCCCACTACCGCAAATTATGCAGTCGAGTTTCCCACGTTTGGGGAAATTGCAGGGGTCTGCACATCCGGAGTGCAATTGATAAGCCTCACCCTGGGAAAGCCACATTTGTGATCATGGCGCATCTCCACGTTCATCTATATCCTTTGGAAAAATCTACCAAGATCATCCCTTTGGAATTCCCAAAGAAAGGGGAACTATAACCTTCTGAGCTGACCTCTCAGCCTTATTTTAACTGGCCAGCAGATTCACTGGCCCTTTTCTTTGAAGGCACCCTTATGAGAGTAAGTCAAGTGAATGACTGAAAGAATATGTCTACAGATATCCACTGATGGAAGAGGCATGTTTAAACACATTTTGTTTGGAATAAACCTGTGTGTAGCAAGTTTCTGAGTTACCCTTGTCTTTACTCTAATGTTCTAGAATTGAATGCTTACAACATTATGTTATAACCAGTGGTCATCTAGTTGCTTCCAACTCGTGGCAGCCCCATGCGGGTCAAAACAGAACCATTCTCCACAGGGTTATCAATGACAGGTTCTTCTGAAGGAGGCCTTTCTACTGAGGCATTTCTAGGTGTGGGCTCAGGCTTTTTCTGTCACCATCTGAGCACTTTGTTTGCCCCACCCAGGGGCTCCCCTCTGAGCTGTAAGGGCAGCTGTGGTCAGTAAACAAATGGGGAAATCACGCACAGGGCAGTCAACCGATATGCTCAGGCTATACCTAAGCAGAAATGGGCCTCCAGGGGACTTCAAAAAGTTCATGGGGGGGAAAAAACCCACGGACATTTTAAATCCATTGTTCCATGAACTTTCTGGAGCCCTTTCACATCAACGCAGGTGCCCTGAACTCTGGTGTTCTGTGGCCTTCCCTAGAGACCCTGCCTTTATCAGCCCTCACCCGGGCTTTCTAGTCCTCAATTAGACTTCCTCTGTGTCTTCTTTCCAGATCAAGAAGGTAGTTTTAAGTCTATGTTTGTGCACCTGCTCCCTATGATTATTTTAATTGTTCTCTGCTTCCACGGTCTTTTGTTGTTGTTGTTGAGATCAGAATTATACACATTTCAGGAGCAAATGCACATAATTTTGATACAGAGCCAAAAATGTTTACCAGCACGTTTCCACTGTCCAACTAGTGGAAACTGGAACAATTTCCCGTGATTCCCGTGTCTCTAACACGGCTGTAAAGACGAATCTGGAAGCCAACACGTTTATCCTCGAATAAATAGGCAAGCGAGAGCAACTAAAGGTGCATTAGCCAGGCCTGCTGTATTTCAAAAATACCAACCTACCAGCATCATGCAGGAAACCAAAGCCCAGAAATGACAGAAGTCAGCTGACCACTTAGCAAAGGATTATATTCAAATAATGGGTTTAAATTATGGCAAGGGACTTTCTCAGGAACTTTTCCAATGGATCCATACCTTATCAAACCCCACCCCCCTTTTTTTTCCCCACATAGGAACTGCCGTAGTACTGTCAGTCATCCTGAGAGAAGTCATACTTATATTGCTTAACTGGCAACCAGACACACCTTCCTCTAAGAACCTGACTGATGCAGGTTAGCAGCTAGAAACTTCCCACCAAAATGTGATGCTTTCTCCATGCACTTAATTTCAGTCCAATTAATAAACGCCAGCCACACCCTCCGTTAACAGGCACAGATTTGTTTAAATTAGTCTCCCAGGGGAGGCTAATCCAGGCATTAGCGTTATTAGAATCTGTGTGAACAGCTGGGCGCAGGTGTTCATATTACCAATGGGTGCGTTAACGCTTAACCCACCTCAGAAGGGATATGGCAGGTGTTTTGTGAGCTACTGAGTTGTTTTTAAGAGCAAATGGTAAATACAGGCACAAATATGTGAACCGGTGACAGCCCTGATAGGAATATCATGGCTGAAAACTAGTCGCAGGTCCGTGTCGCTACTGTTTCTCATTAAGCAACAAGTATCCCACTGTCAAGTGCTGTGAATCAGCCTCAGACCCATGCTGATCCCAGGCTCAACAGGGGTGAACTGCTGTGGTCCGTGAGGTTGTCACTGGTGACGTTAGGTCATTGGTCTCCAGGGTTTCCTTTCTAGTCCACCTTAGCCTGGAAGCTCTGCTGCAACCTGTTCAGCATCAGAGCAGCATGCCACTTACAGTCGCCTGGCGGCTAGCGCGCTGTGCCCTGGCAGCATCAGAGTAGCATGCCACTTACAGTCGCCTGGCGGCTAGCGCGCTGTGCCCTGGCCAGGAGCCCAACCTGGGTCTCCTCTCCTGGGTGCAAGATGAGCACCCACCATGGAACCCCTGCTGCTGTTGCTGGCTGTCCACTCATGGCAGCCCCAAGGGCAGAGAGCGGAACTCCTGTGGGAGGTTCTCAATGACACTGTAACCTTTCAGAAGTACATTGCCAGGCCACTCTTCTGAGGCACCTCCAGGTGGGTTCAAAATGCCAACCTTTCAACTTTCAACTAGGCAAGAGTTCAGCCTTCAGTACCACTCTTGGGCCCCTCTGCCTTGGAATATAACTTACCAGAAGAAAACCCAGAGTGATCAAATTCTGCCTGGTACCAAAAATCTTCAGTGGGTCAGTAAACAATTAGCAAGACTCCTTTTAGCCCTGAACTGCAAACACGTGGCACAGACCCATCCATGTGTGTCCTTTCCATTTTGCATAAGCAGTAACATCTCAAAAAATGCCTGATTTTAGCAAGTAACTATCAGAGTAGTGGTTTGCAAGTCCTCTCAAAATGAATCTACTTAGGGAGTTTGTTTTATTAAATGGATCACATCGGTTTTTCTACCAAATTCAGGGGTTTGTAATAAAAATGTTAGTATCGAAAGATTTATAACAATCAGAAAAACACTAGGCAACCAGTCAGGATGATCACTACAGCCATTTGACCTTTAAAAGGAACTTTCCCAACTACTCCAAGGACAACAAAAAACGCTGAGCAATAATCAAGTTCGTTTCAGCAAATACGTCATCTCAAAACCAAACAAACCCTATCCCTGGAGAACTGCCATCGGGAGTGAAGCTCCGAGTTGAAGACGCTCCACTGAGAACAGACTAGCACCTATTCTCCAAGGGCTTTTGACACTGAATATTCTTGTCAAACCTAACTGCCTGTTACAGGACATCAGCCAGCACTCGCAGCAGACGGTCTACTTAGGAAAAAGCACTCAGTGAGCTGCTAACGAGAAAACACACAAAAGTGAAAAGTTGTTCACAGCATCAAAGCAAACCAGGGGACTTTCGAGGGGTGGCCTCTTTTTCCCAATAGCATTCTTAACATTCTCATCGATGGAAAACTATAAAACAACATCAAGCATCTATGTTTTAAATAAGGCCTCCGCTCTGTTTCAGGTTTCACGATGAAGCTTTAATCAACAGAAAAAATGAGTAGAACCGCAGCACCACATTTTTTTTTTAACTAAACCAGGCTGAACAAATTTACTGAATGTATTTATTTGAGCAACCATCAGGGATGTGTTCTTATTGGCATTTTACATCAGCAGGGAGGACATTCGTGAGTGAAAGCGTGTACACAAACTCACTGCCATCAAGCCCATTTCGACTCACAGAAACCCCAGGGCAGAGTAGAACCGCTCCTTAAGATTTTCAGTATGGGAACAGTCAGCCTCATCTTTCTTCTGCGCGACAGCTGGTGGGTTTGAATTGGAGACCTTGCAGTTAGCAACATAATGCTTAAACCACCCTACCAGCAGGGTTCACGCACTCGCACAGGCGTGTGTGTACACACACACAATCTCACTGCTTAAGTCCATTCTGACTCACAGCAACCCTATAGGACAAGGCAGAATGTGTGTGTGTGTGTATGTGTGTGTCTGTGTGTGTACGTGCACAAACTCACTGCTATCAAGTCCATGCGTGTGTGTGTGTGTGTGTGTGTGTGTGTGTGTGTACGTACACAAACTCACTGCTATCAAGTCCATGCGTGTGTGTGTGTGTGTGTGTGTGTGTGTACGTACACAAACTCACTGCTTAAGTCCATTCTGACTCACAGCAACCCTACAGGGCAAGGCAGAATGTGTGTGTGTGTGTGTGTGTGTACGTGCACAAACTCACTGCTATCAAGTCCATTCTGACTCACAGCAACCCTACAGGGCAAGGCAGAACTGCATCTCTGGGCGTCAAAATCTTCAAATCTTCACAAAAGTGGCCAGTACCCTCTTTCTCCTGAAGAGCTGCTGGTGAGTTCGAAAAGCAGACCTGTGGTAGTGCTTAGCCGATGACTCCACCACCCGAGTCCCCTATATGTATATATTTCTAGCTTTTTCATTCTATTTAAGTATTGTCAATTCACAAATATCACACTGTATGCGTGCACACATTTTTCCCCCAGGGGTAATGTATTAACTTACATTAACTTGAGAAGACAGGAATGAACTCCTGAGTAACTTTATTCAAAGCCTTCTCACCTAGATGGCTGACAACCAGCTAGTTCCAACACCAAAGCACATGACCTGCAAGATGCTTCCCTCCAGCCACAAGCATGCCCTCCACAGCCACTGAATACAACATGCTTCTGTTTCCTCCTCTAAGTGGATGGCTTCTAAGAAATTTTAGTAAACTTGCTCACGAGGTAATGCCACGGATACCAACAGTCACAGGCACCTTTCTATGCTTACTGGGTCCTCCACACCAAAACCATGGGCAGTGTCACCACAGGATCACAAGCCTGCTTTCAGATGAAAAACCTTGGAACATCCAGGCCAGGGGTTGTCAATCTTGACACTGGTGACATTTGGGACCAGATACTTCTTTTCCTGTTGTTGTGGGGGGCTGTCGAGTGTATTGCAAGAAATACAGCAGCATTCCCTCGTCTCCACCCACTATATGCCAGCCACCACCACCCCTCCCCAGGTGTGACAACCCAAACTATCCCTATTCATTGCCAATTGTGTGCTGGTTGCAGAAGTGGGGCAACAATGCCCCCAAAAGAAAAAGGTGTAAATAATGACTTGGAAAAAAACCACCGCCACCTATTCTCTTGCATGCAAAGTTAAAGAACTCAGAAGAAGCTAAGGAAGAGAGGGTGTGATTGAAAACTACAAGTGGGGGCAATGTCCTTTCCCCGATGTGCAGGCTTCTTCCTCTGAATATCAAGAGACTTACTTACACAGAGTTCTTGTCAAGACCAAGATCCAAGCTATCAAACCCATCTTTTATAGGGTTCTGGAACGGACCAAAGTGATAAAAGAACACAACCACACTCACAAAACAAAGTCTATTTCTAGAAGACAATGAAAAGGCTTATCCCTAGTCTGTAGGAGGGACTTTTTGGAGAAGTCAAGAGGTTAAGAGCTGTAACAATTTACTTGCTCTGCAAACAAGGGAGCTGTGGGGACGCCCTGATGTGCCAAAGACTCCATCCATGCAACTTTCCCAAGACAGGGGCCTCGTTAGTGAGGAGGGCTGACTCTTCCACATGTGTATGATTACACTCTTGTGATGATGAATCCGGGACAGGCTGGGCCGGGAGCCAACAGTGACTGGGTTTTATAGTTAGATGAATTACACCTTTTAACCCTTCCGTGGACAAACCATCCTTGCCATGGTGAGCCTTTCTTGGCAAACCAGTTTCCCTTCTCTGACCCTTTCCTTCCACAGAGGGCTTCCTCCGGGGGGAGGGGGGGTCCTCGCCTTTCAGTCCCTGCCTGTCACTGCACAGAGCTCAACACTCACTCCAGCGCCCCGGGGCCCTGCCGCGTGCGTCCTGTCACCACCACCCCCTCCCCCCAAGCCCGGCCAGCTCTTGACCCTTGACCCCGGCCTGACCCCCGCCGCCCCTCCCCGCCCCCGGGGCGGTACCTGAAGTAGTAGACATCGCTCTTGCCGGCACTGAGCCCAGATTTTCGGATCACTTCCTCCTTCTTCCATCCGGGGGGGAGGGCCGGGCAGTCCATCCTCTTCCCGCTCTCCGTGGCCCGGGGTCCCCTGGGCCCCAGCCCCGCGCTCCCCGACGGGAAAGGGACCGGCTCCCGCCGGGGGGC